AAATTGCAGGTTATGCCTCCAAGGGTACAGGGTGGAATGCTGCTTGTACACTTGCACTTACCCAAGAGTCAAATCCATATTTCAGGATTCGAACCCTTGACGCAGCAGACTCAAGTAAAGCTGGATTTCTCCACCCTCCCCTTTTACCACTTGGAGATGTGCCCTGGGGGCGTATTCGGTATCATCTTTCTTTCGGCGGCAAGTGGTGAAAAATTGTGAAAGAGAGAGTGTACAGATTTCAATGGGATGGGTGGGTTTGCCTTGAGATGGATATACATTGAATGAATTTGTGGAGCATGTTTATATATTATAGAATACAGACAAAGTAAATGCAAAGATAGAATTAATTAATCCAAACACTATAGTAAGAGTCAAACCTATGAAATATAGTATTGATGATCAAAAAGAATTTACAAACCAGATAAAAGAATTGTTGGAAGCCAGACTAATTACGCCTAGTAAAAGCCCACATAGCAGCCCAGCCTTTATGGTTAGAAAATATAGTGAGATAAAAAGAGGAAAAGCCAGAATGGTGATAAACTACAAGAAATTAAATGAAGTTACTAAATTTGATGGATACTACTTGCCAAATAAGGACACCCTTATTAAACAAGTACAGAACAAAAAGATATTCTCAAAATTTGATTGTAAGTCAGGGTTTTGGCAAATCATGCTTACAGAAGAAAGTAAACCACTAACTGCATTTAGTACCCCCAATCCTTTAGGACAATACGAATGGAATGTAATACCATTTGGATTGAAAAATGCACCACAAATATTTCAAAGAAGAATGGATGAGATAATAAAACCAATTACTCATTTCTGTATTGCATACGTAGATGATTTACTTATTCATTCAAATAATATAGATGAACATATTGAACATCTTGAAAAATTTTGTTATATTATGAAAAAACATGGTATTACACTTTCTCAAAAGAAATCTGAGATAGCCAAAACAGAAATAGAGTTTTTCGGATTATTTATCAAAGAAGGAGAATTGCAATTGCAATCCCATATTGGAGAAAAACTTCAAGAATTTCCTGAAGTAATTAAAGATAAAAAATAATTACAAAACTTCCTTGGTATATTAAATTATGCTGAAAGATTCATTGAAAATTGTGCCAAATTAAAAAATTATTTTCTTCCAAAGTTAAGAAAAAATATAATGTGGTCTTGGGAAAAACAAGATTTTGAAAATATAAGGAAAGTTAAAAAAGAGTTAAAGGTATTGCCCAAACTTGTAATACCACAAGAAGAAGATTTCTTTATCCTAGAAACTGATACTTCAGATTACTACTGGGGAGCAGTGTTAAAGGTGAAATAGAATCATAAAGAATATAAATGTGAAAAAGATTGTTCTTGTCCTGAAATACTTGCAGGCTATACATCAGGAACCTTCAAAAAAGTTGAAACAAGATATGAGACGAACAGAAAAGAACTCATTGCTGTAAAAAGAGGAGTTAAAAAATATGAAGATTATTTATTACCAAAGAAGTTCTTGATTAGAACTGACAATACTCAAGTTAGAGCATTCCTAAAAAATAATGTTGATCCATCTATTACCAATAGATATATTATTAGAATACAAATTTGGTTCTCATATTTCAAATTTGATATTGAATATATTAAAGGAAAAGCTAACTTTCTTCTCGATTATCTTAGCAGGGATGGAACTAGAACAACTAAGGACGAAAGTCCAAATACTTGAGATAAAAGTTTTCTATTTGGAAACCCAAATTCAAAATATCCAAGATAGACTTCGAGGCAAAAATATAGCCCTTGAGGCAGAAGTTACTTGTACCAAAACTAGTATCCCTTCGCAGGGACTTGTGAATACTAGCGCTTTCCCCGAGGATAAAGGGAAAGAAAAGAAGGTAATAGGAACCCCTTCACAGGGAATACTCAAACCTATTACTGGTAATAAAGATATTCAAGATATCAAAAGAGAAGGTAGCTCTTCACAGAGCCAAACTCAATCTAAACTTTCTATTGAAAGAATAGATCCAAAAGATATTGTCAAGATATGTCATGAAGCAAAAATTCTCAGAAAAAATAACCATGAAGAAGTAACACTCTTTATTATTATTTTCAATATTTTATCAGATTGGTATTTGGAGATTGGAAAGTGGATGAAGACTCTCCACTATTCAAAATACAACAAGATAAATTTTTATCCAGGAGCACCAGCCAATTGGGTTCGAAATTGCTTTGAGATAGGAAATATACTCTGTATATATCCTAGCAAAGATCTCAAAGAGATAGCTCAGCTTCCAGCCAACATCAGGAAAACTGTTAAAAGATATACTGAAATTGTTAAAACAACAAATATATATATCAGATTCCATTCAACAACTATGGAGTGGGATCCTCTTCTGGAATATATGCATCCATCTTTCCATGTGATCAAAATGGGAATCACAAATCAACATTTTTTACCAACTAATCAAAAGGTTGTTAAAAATGGATATCAAGATATTCTAAATATGATGCCCTACAGGCGAGCAAAATGGTATAAAGAGATATTTGAACATGTAACTCAGATAATTACTGAGAAAGAAAAAATATGGGTTTATCCATCTGAAGATCATATTATTTATTCCAATGCAAGAATGGATACCAAAGAAGAAGATATTTGCTATCTCGACCATTTATTATCTGCAATTATATCCAATCAAGTGCACGGATCAGAAGATATGGCTAAAGAATTATGCAAATTACTTTGGAATTACAGTGATCACCATTGTGAATACTGTGTAGTTGAAGATATGAGTCAAGCATCCCTTAATGATGAAGAATTCTCTGCAGAATTCTTTGATTCAAAAATGGAGAAGTGATGGTGACTAAAGTAGCCCTTTATCACTACTTTAATAAAGAAATTTATTAAAGAAAAACTGTGGCTACTAGAAGATAGAAAATAATATAAGAAAAGTCTCTATAATTGTAACTACTCCTCACCAATAGTTACAAGTGGCAGACAAACTCAAAAGATAAAGCATCTAATTTCAAAAGAAGAGGTTCACCCAACAAGAAGACAATGAAGAATTCGGTGGAGATAAGATGGCCTAGCTACCCAACAAAGAAAGATGGAAAACACCTGTCCAAAATAAGATTCCAAAATCTTCTATAAAAAGGGGCATGAAGGAAGAAGGAAGATATCTTGAAATAGCCTATCTCTTAAACACATCTGAGAGAAATCCTTTGTAATCTGTATACACCACTTGTATTCAAAAAAATATTAGATAGCTTGAAGATAGGAAAGCGTGTAATAAGGTAATCACTTATGGAGTTCTAAACTTCATAAGGTGAGTACCAAAGGTATGTAAATATAGTTTGTAAGCATGTACAATTTCAATTTATGAATATCAAAGTAAAGTTTGTTATGTTTAACAAAGCCTTCATAAAAGGTTTTCTTTAAATTTCTCATGATTCCTCGGCAGTACAAATAGAGATTTTAAAAGATTTTCAAAACTTTGATTTTGAATGGATGTTAGCCATGCCAAAGTACCCGTATTTGAAGAATGGTTTAGGGGAAAATGCAGTTTTCTAACAAAAATTTGTAGCATCTTGTGTGTGAGTTATCTTTTAAAATTTCGTTCTAAGTAGGAACTTGATTCTGAAAAGAGTTTGGATAGAGGTGAAAACAAAGACTCTGGATACTGTGAGATAGCGTCTGTGGAAACACGGCTAGTTCTCTAGAATGAAAAGTGCAACCTTAATTGAAAAGCCTTTTGCGGAAGCAGTTGTAGACCCAAATGATTTCAAAAATATTTTAAAAATTTTACTTGGTTCAGAAGACTGATTAAGTACATGCAAAGCATCTATAAGAGCATACTGGAGGGAAAGCCTGTTTATTTCCACTTGATTACTGTAAGTTATTTTTATATACTTATGCTTTAATTATTTTCATGAACAATTCACAAGCATCCACTTCCACTACTAATGATGATAATAATCTTATTTTATTTTTAGATGAAAAAGATGTTTCGTTCTTACTTAAATTAGATAAAAAAATCTGATAATATATTTCCTATTGGTAAAGAAAAAATCGAAGAAATATATAAAGATATAGATTATAATTGTAGAAATAATATAAGATTTGATTCTGTAGGAACTAGTAGAGAAATAAGAAAAGTAGAAGATATCATAACTAAATATACAAATATACAAGAAGAAATATCAGAAGGATTATTTAAAGGATACATAACCAAGAAAGGTCAGCCAATAATCTTTAAAGAACTATTAACATATAGAGAATATTTAAAGATGTTCAAAAGATTAAAAAATATAGATATAGTACCTGATTGATAGATCCTTAAAGATATAAGATAGATCTTGCAAATAATCTCATTAAGGGTAAAGTAGTACTTTTAATAAGAAAGACTATTGTGGAAAAAAGGAAGAATTCTCCAGCCATTCTCAAAGTTATCCCAAAAAAGGGATGACTGACGGGCTAATTGTGCACACTTTCCCACTATTAATTTAGGGTTAAAACAAAATAAAAATGAAATTAATCTTCCTATTTGTCATCTTTTAACAAAATAAATTATTTACTAGGGTCACATTCTCCACCACATATTCCAGCAATCAAATACTCTACATATAAACCAATAAATTTTTTTTTTTTCAAAATTTCAACCATATATTCTCCAAAAATCATTATTCAGATGATAATTATATATATATATATATATATATATTATGGTATCCATAGTGGCCCCGTTTGGGAGGGATTTTGAGAATTAATTTTTTAACTGTCAGAAGAAAAGTGAGGTCCACCTGTAAAAGAAGAAGTCAAAAATTACGGTTGGAATAATAAAATAACGGTCAAAAAATCAATTTTTTAGGGTAAAAAATTCCTCCCAAACAGGCCGAGTATATACGTGGAATTCCATGATTGGAGGGTTATATAAATTATTTTTCAACCTTATAATAATATTATGTCACTTGTACATTATGATCACCTTTATAAACACCATAATATACATAACCCCTGTTCAAAACTCTAATGGAAAACAAACAAGCTCTAAGAATTCAATGCGACTAATCTCACAGACCTTCCCTCCTCTTTTTCCTCCTCCTTATTTATTAGATCCCCTTTTTATCTCTGTCCGATCTGGTAAATTTATGCATTTGTTTGACGAAAATCTTTCATCTTAATTTAAATGCAAATTTTAATTTTTTGATTTTGTGCCACCCTTCATTCCTTAAATCTTCTGAAAATCAAAAAATAAATACGGGTACCTTTTGCTAGGGTTTATTTTCTTTTCATATTGAGGAAAGAAATTCAGATCGAATCAAATGGCTGCTCCACCTGCCAGAGCTCGAGCCGATTACGATTATCTAATCAAGCTCCTCTTGATAGGAGACAGCGGTACGTATTTTGTGCACGCAGTTCTATACATATTTTAAGGTATTTATCATGTTATTTTGCGTAATATTTGAAATATATGGACGTGCTTTTATATTTGTTGTTGTGGAACCTGCATTTATTTTCATATTATTATGGCACTTAATATTGTTTTGATCTTTTGACTTGGAGAAAATTTAAGATCTTCCAGATATGTATTTTATTTCATATTATGGAAAATTTGTTATATTTCATATGATTTTGTGATAAAAATTGGTGTTTGACTTTTAGCAAAAAATAGTTCTGTCCAGTAAAAAAATGTTAAATTTGATTATATCTGGCAAAATCTATATTTTGGCTAAGTATGTGAATATATGTGTTGCCAATATCATAAAACAAATGCTTTGTTATAGATGCTTGTGAATTTCAAAGCATATGTTTTCTGGCACAGACTTATATACGACTTTTATATGTACAATTATAAGGAGTTTTATTTAGAGAGTGATTTTCCATTGACGAATTGCAGAGGATTGCAGTCTCTTTATGTGCTGTACTCTTGGACTTCAGTAAGTCATAGTATTAATTTTAACTTGAGGAAATGGAATGCCCGTATACAATCAAATGTTCCAATGGATAAGCTCTCCATAAGAGAATGGCAAGGAAAGTTCGAGTGATTGAGATGAAGTCATTGACTTTCAATCTAGAGGAATGATTGAAATCTTATGAAGGGTTGCTGCGATTAAACATTTTAAATGACTTAGCAAGGATATGAAAGATTTTGTTTCTGGTATGACTGTAGCTTTTGGTTGGGGGATAATTTCTCCAGTTCATACTCATTCAGGAAAAGTGGTTGTCTATTAATCTCCGAATTTTTATTATAAATTGCCAGAATTAATCTCTCACCTGGCAATTTATACCAAATATTCTGTCTGGAAGCTGTAGTTAACTAGATCTGGATTGAAGTTCACATTTAATGATTTAAGTTTTCAGGTGTGGGCAAGAGTTGCCTTCTTTTACGTTTCTCTGATGGCTCTTTCACCACCAGTTTCATTACTACTATTGGGTAGGTTGCTTTCCAATATAATAAGGTACCCTTTTTAGTTTGACTTGGTTGACATTCTTCTGCATAGTCTATCTGATTCTGTTTTCTTATGCAGCATTGACTTCAAGATAAGGACCATAGAGCTCGATGGCAAACGAATCAAATTGCAAATTTGGGATACTGCTGGGCAAGAAAGATTCCGAACCATCACAACTGGTATGCCATAACCAGTGCATAAATCTTCTCCATTCCCCCTATCCCCATCCCTAGACAGAAGCTGAGGTCATGAGGCATTTCAGTTTTATCATGTTTTTCTTCAGTCAGATTAAGGTATCTTTAGGAATATGAGGAGTTCTGCATATCTAAGAAGAAAGTAGAGATTGGCTGTTAATTGGTGGAAAAAGATTTTAAAGTTTTAAGTATCATGATAATTAAAAAGAAATTCCCAGTTTCCCTTGCAGGCTGGTGTAGGTTATTAATTGTTTCATATCATGTAGTTTATTAATTGTTTCATTATAGTTTTGCCTTCAATCTAATGCATGCTGGTGTCCCTTTTTTCCTGCTTCATAATGTGCAATGCATTCTGAGGGAAATTTTTTTTTATTGATCATTCGATTTTTTCCTCAAATGAGTATATGGCTGCAACTGAAACCCCACAGAAAGTTAAGCTGGAGGTGGTTTGCATTTGACTCCTTTTTTTTGGATGAGCTCAAAACTTGTGATTGTGCATTGTTTTTAATAATTCATGGAATAATGAACTATTCGTGAGCAGCTTGTACCTTTTCTAACAATTAATCTTGTTTCTTGACCATATTTCCTCATATTACAAGATGGATATCATGATATAGGTATTTTTGAAGTTAAGGAAAGAACCAAACATAATTCGTATGTTTTAGTGGTAAGAAGTATGATACGTTTTATAAAATATCTGAAGCCACTACAATTATCGTGATAGCGAACATGTGTATTCAAACGGCCATTATTAATCTTCACTTCGTTTAGCAAACAAGTCATGAACGAGTGCCAAGCGAGCCAAGCAATCTATTCCCTATGGTTGGTCTTTTGCAGTCCCAAGACAGGAGTTAGGTTGAAGAAAGACATTGTACGAAGGGCAGGTTTCTCCTCAGAAACAAGCCATGTCCAACAAAATCCTAAACTACATCCATGTTTTACCTGTTCTTTATTCTATAGTTCTTGCTGTTTTGACCGAACCTGATTATTTATGATCACAAAGGAATCTAGCTCTCAAATGTCATAGGCTGAAAAAAGACAGTTAGCACAATTATTGCAGCACAAGTATTGCATTTTTTGATACTTGTTAGATGATTGTCTTAGAAGCAGATAGTTGTGGTTAGGGATATGCATGTATCAGTTTCCCCAATACTCTAGCAATCATCTTTCCTACATTTAACCATGGAAGGATAAGTGAAATATTAGAAAGGGGATCATCATTTCCTATGGCTTCTTTTCTTTTTTAAATCATAAATTTAAAGAAAAATATTATTTTTTTATATATATATATATATATATATATATATATATATATATATAGACCAGAGGTGCATTTTTCTCTCCAAGCTTTATCTTTACGTAATTTTTTTGGTTTTGCAGCATACTATCGTGGAGCAATGGGAATATTGTTGGTGTACGATGTGACTGATGAGTCTTCTTTTAACAGTAATTACTATTTACTCCTCTCTGATCATCTTTTTCTATTGGGCCTGGTATTTTTGCCCTCATTGTACGAGATTAATTTGCTGATATATCTCATTTAAATTTTTAATTGGTATATCTATCCTTGTAGTTTTTTCTCCCTTTGTCAAAATTGACATTCCTTTGTTTAGACATCAGGAACTGGATCCGTAACATTGAACAGCATGCCTCTGACAATGTCAACAAGATACTAGTGGGTAACAAGGCTGACATGGATGAAAGCAAAAGGGTATAATCTCTCTCTCACCAAGTGCATGCTCAAGCACACGAATGTCACTGTTTTTACATATGTATGTATATGCATACATGTTGCAGACATGGCTATGAGCACACACGGGGACTCTTCTGCATCATTGATCTGATTGGGTAGCTAGAGTTCAATTGAATTGGTATTCTATGAGTATGCATTTCATGCAAATCAAATGTAAAATCCACCTAGTGGATTTTGAAAATTCCAAGAATAAAATTTAAAAAAAGAAGAAAGAAAAAAGGTGAGAAGTGATGGACCTGATGTTAATACATATAGATGTCATGCCTGAGAGATCTAGTAGGCACAAAAACTCGTCCTCTTTGTTTTGTGATCTACTTACAATTTTTGTAATCTAGCTTGTTGGATATTTGAAGATTGATCAGACGAAACTTATTTCTGTAGGCTGTTCCCACCTCCAGGGGTCAAGCACTCGCAGATGAATATGGAATTAAATTCTTTGAGACAGTAAGTTGCACTTGTTAGCTGATGATGGAATACATGCAGTAGAATTCAGTTTTAATATCACTATCTCAAACAGAGTGCAAAGACAAATATGAACGTGGAGGAGGTGTTTTTCTCAATAGCCAGGGACATAAAGCAAAGACTTTCCGAATCCGACTCAAAGGCGGAGGTATAATCATGTTTTTGTTTTTTCCTGCTCGAGCATCAGTTATTACTTTATGATTGTGTAATCTTATTGCCGATCTATCCACATTCGGAATTTTGCAGCCTCAGACCATTAAGATTACCCAACCCGACCAGACATCAGGAGCTGCCCAAAAATCAGCCTGCTGTGGTTCTTGAGCAATGCCTTTGCATGAAACATAGGATGATCGGCTACATCCATAAGTTGACCACGGTGGATCTAGTCTTGTTATGACACTATCAGTGTTGCTTGTATTGTTATTACTTGTTATTTTTAGTTGCTACACAAATATGCTTTGGTTGCAAATCTTATCGGAGGAATTAATTAGTCTTTCCTACACAAATATTTTTAGTTTCAGAAACTAATGTTGAAATAGCTGTCTATTTATCAATTTGGTGACACTCTTTCGAAGTTGTGTGATATTATCATATACTGGGTGCAGCTGTTTTTAACATTCTCAAAATCAATCTCAGCCTTTGATTTTATAAATTAATATTTCAGTGTACATTTTTTTTTTAAAATAAAAATAAAAAATGAAATAAATACAATTAAGACCCTTGTGAGGGTTTCGCATAGTTTTAGTAGTTCTTCCGCTTCTAGGATAAATTTGACTGAAAATCCTTGTGTCACCAGTTCAAGCCTATTCTTTTTTTGTTTTTGTTGACCTTTGTAGGAAGTAAGAGCAGTTGATCTTTTCACGAGATAAAGACACAAAAATTAGAAACAATATATGATTTTTTTAGTAGTTGACATTTTCGCTTCCGCTTCATCCCCATTGCTCGTGCAGGGGCTTCTTTCCAAGGCCGAAGGAACCCCTCTCTTTCAAGAGGATTCGCTTGGTTTCCGACGTCATCTTTATCAAACTTCTTTGTCTTCGTATTCCAAAAAAATCACAAGGAATTATTCCATTACTCCTTTCTAATAATAGTGGAATCAATGGTGCAGAGTCAAAAAGGGCAACGCGTTTTGAACTACTTAAAATCAAAATATCTTAATTTTCAATTCCATTGGAGTCCAATGAATCGCTTCCCAACGGTATGTTCTGGGTTCGGTTAGAATCCCCGCCCTCTGAACCTGACGTGAATATGGAGCTGGAAGATGGTGCAAATGACTTTATGAAATTATATTAATACTTCCACATATTATGGGTAACGTAGGAGACATCTCCATTTTTCCTCACAATAGAAGAAAAATGAATTTACTTATCCTACTTTCTCTTTAGTCTGCAATTGCAATACACAAAAGCTGGTGGAAGTTATCCTTCGAGCCATTAGCGTACGCGTGTGTTTCCATTCGGTTAGCAATATTGTCACATGTTAACTATAAATCCTAAATATGATTTCCTATTGAAGTTCTTACGTTTTTGAGTTCTGATAAAGTGGTGGTACTGTGAATATGTACAGGCAATACTGAAAAATATCAGATACTTAATTCATTGTGTATTCCATCACTTAAGTAAATTAAACAATTCAGTTTCAATTAATGTCTCATCCCATGTAGGTGCTCCAAGAATATGATTATCATACATTAGGAAAATTTTGGTGTAACAGGTGTTTACATCTCGATATTTCATATTTTGCCCTTGTTATTTTATAATTGAGCACTAGCTAGTATAATTAACTTTATACTCTGAATATAAAATTAAATTCAAATGCTCTTCCCGAATGAGAAGATAAAAATTAATTGTTGCAGATGATGTATTATATTGATTTTAATCGATACGTTGATTTGGTAGGATTATATCTTGATAATGATCATATGGCTCCAAAACGAAGGAACTTTTTTTTTTAAAAGCGTTGCATCATAATTTGTGCACGTGATGCCTACGTTCATCTGATGCAACGCATTTAATAGAAAAAAGTTTATTTGTTTAGAGTCGTATGATCATTGTCAAGAGAATAAGTCGAATCAAAGGTCAAATAAATACTACTTTTATAGTTTAAAAGGAACAATTTTAGTACTTTTTTAATTTCACCGAATGCAATTGAGCAATTTGCTCTTTGATCAGATCTTTGAAAAATCCTTGAAAAAACTGTAAATAATTTCGTAAGATGAAGATGATGATGAGCTACATTACGTAAAGGACATAAAATGAACAAGAAAATATAAAATTAAAGAATGAGTGAGAACTCTTTTCCTAAGTGGAATAATGAGAATATCAAACTAACTATGACTAAAAAAAAAATATTTTGAAGTGATGAAAGCTATATAAGAGTTGGAGGAACTTGAAAAATTCAATCCTCCAAACCGTCTACTTAAGAGGCAAAAAATGGTAAGGAATGAGGAAAGCTAAAATAGAAGAAAAAAATCGGGATCAAAATTTTGAATCGGCTAAAGCATGTCATTGTTGTCCAATCCAACCCATCTAATTTTGGTTCATGAGCTAGTCTGTACAAATTGCTAAGTTGTTCGCACAGGAAAATACTAGCTCGACACGCCTATGATTCTTTTTGAAACGTATCGACAAGTGACTCGTTCTATTTGACGTCCCTACATCAAAGTGTTAGATAAATCACCATTAATGTTTTCTTGATTAATCACGATAGATACGTTTTATTTTTTATAACGGGGGTATTGATAAATCTTAATCAATGGCGAGACATTTTGATCAAGATATTAATTAAGATTTAAAAGTGTTGATATGAAAATTTTAGATCAAGATGGAAATAAAGAAGTTGCACTAGCATAGAATCATTCATAGAGCACTACACGTCTCGAAAAAAAAAAAAAGATCATATATTCGCGTATGCTATAAATTTCCAAGATGAACGGAAGAAACGAAAAATGGGACCAAATTTTTTTGGTCGGTGGCTGGGTTCCACTTTGCAGCCGGAAATTCGCATCGCGTCAATTTTATTCATAACGTGTCTAACGGCAGCTTTCAACACCCGTTAGAAATTCCGTCCTTGTCTCAGTTCGGTACAACGCTGGCCCCCCTCTTCTCTCCACGACAGAGAAAATCTTTAATGGGACAGCCCGTCCTACGTGGTGTGACTGTCAAATGAGGAGCTGTCACTATATCGAGTGGTTCACCCTCACTCACTTGAGGTAGAAATAAGCAAAAAATCAAGTTCCAAGTTGACTTTACCATGAGAACGGGCCACCGATGATGTGGTAACTTCCCATTAGACGATCGCACACCTTCTCCATCACGCATACAATTAAACATCCCGTGATTTGGACTCCTTGTAAGAGCAGTGTAGAGACAACTCTTATTTCTTGACTTTGTTGGGCCACATTTTGCGATTTACCTCTCTCACAAAACTTTAGGGGTGGGGCCGTGGGGGCTGGGTTTAACCTTTTTTTTTTTTTAAACATTGGACCCCACTACGTCTTATTCCCCCACCGTCAAAGAATCTGCCGCTAATTTCGACCAGCGAGAATTTTCTTTTCTACTTTTCCTTTTATTATTCCTCTTAACTTTAAATGGCAGAGGATGAATCACAAACAGGGGGGGAATCAGGGAATGCATAACGTACCACAGTACTCACAGAGAGCTTTGCTTTACTCAAACGCTTTCTCTCTCTAGGTTTTCTATATATTTTAAGCTTCTTTTTCGCTCTTGGATATCTCAGCTTTTTCGTTTTCAAGCGACGCTCTCAGTTAAGTCTGTTTGATCGTGCTCGGTACGTTTTATTGGACATTTGTATTATTTTTAGCTAAATTTGATTTTTTAACGCTGCTGTAGTACTGGTTTTTGCATATAATATGTGCGTGTTTTTTCATATTTAGGCGTGTGGATATGAATTTTTTTGTACACGGTTTTTAGTCTATTAAAGCGCATTGATCTTTTGCCATGGAGTTTTGAGAACTATTTTGATATATTTTGGGAGGATAAATAGGTCCTTACATTTCAATGTCAATGTGCAAAATGTCCCCCACCTTTCATTTTTTTGACATTTTCATCCCTATTTTCACATTTCATCTCGCAAAAGGTAATTTTCATCCATTTTGATGATTGTACACTCCTTCCAAATAAAATGAAAAGAAAAGAAAACATAGATAAATAATTGCAACTATAAACCTATATTTTCAAATCATTCACAAAACTACCAATCTATATCATTATTTTATCCCCTCCATTTCATATCAGGGCCCCATCTCCATATCAGAGCC